CTCCAGAATAAATAATCACAACTTGTCCCAGGACAAATAAAACATCTGTTCCTAGCATGAGATCCCACATCGGAATGGACTAGTCACTGCTTTAGAGTCCCCTACAGTGGAATTACCCTATAAACAAACAGTTGACAGAGAAGGAGGTTATTTACTCTGCACTAACTTGTGTCCTCCAAGCCATGTCCCCATGCACTTTTTCCTCAGTCTGGCATACCCAGGGCTTCAAGGCTAAGGAAAACTGGAGCAATGTAAGTGCATCCTGGCCCTCATGTCCTCAGTGTGATGAAGTAGAATATCAAGGCACATGCATGTGCCCTATCAGTACCATTGATCACAACACTTTCCAAGCTTGAGTGTGTGTGTAGTCCATGAGCACTCACCATGGAAGGTCCCAGCACATCTGGGAGATGTGTTGGGACAGTTGAGACAGCACCTCTCAACTCCAGTTACTGTGTAGGGTATTTTATTGTATTTGATTATGTCATTGTACAATGACAAATGCTTAGATTTGTTTTCTTAGCTTGTTTCCATTGGAAGGAAGACTTTTAGGTTTTTACTCTTGAATATAATTAAAATTAGCAGAGCTGTTTTTAAGTGTCTGTGGATATCTGAAGTGTGTTATGCTGGAACATCTTTGCTTCTCCATCAGTGTAACCAATGGATTTGATTTTGTGTAATTTCTTAATCAAGTTAATTCATTCAAAGAATTTAGGCAATTTTGATTAAGTTTATAGGTCTGAGGCTGCACAGGCTCCTCCTGTGTCATGTGAGCCCTCAGGGCTCCCAGGACCCAGGGGTCTGAACAGGAAGCAAAAGTTGAAGAAAGGAGCATCAGCAGCCTGGGAACCTTAGCAGCGGTGACCAGGTAGAATCTCATGGTTGCAATTTAACTAACACCTTGTGGGCCAGATGCAGCCCATGAAATGCCAGTTGGACAGAGCTAGTTATACCTATCTTAGCTTTATTTATTTATTTTTCAATCACAGATTCAGCTTCTTGAATGCAGGTGACAGTGGAAACAATGGTTTAGACGAGCTGCCAAAAGCGTTCCCTCTAAGCTGTTGTGGAAGAAACAGGCTTTACTCTATTGTTTGGTCACAAAGTTGTCAGAGACCTTTATTAAAGAAGCAGCTGCTGGAGAGAGCACCAGACAGACAGAACATCCTCTTATCAATCCCGATTCAGGTCACATGACACAAGATATAACAAGTCAAAGAAAAACTGATTTGAACCAGAAAGTTGCAAGAGGGCATAGACTGTGGTTTGACCTATTGACCTCATAGGTCTACTCTGCTCAACAAGGGAAAAGGGCGGTAGAAAGAGCAGATTGCAAAATAGGTGGGGAAAAAGCAATCATTAGCAAATAGTGCACTAACTCAAGAAGTCAGCAGAAATTAAGGCCTGGAGTTTTCTTCTTCCACACTGTGCAGCTTGCATGGCTGCGCAGGTGAACTCATGCCACGCTGCCAGGCGCACCTGTGTGGCCGCGCACACCGCACAGCTTACATGGAACGCTGGCTGCCAGCATTCTAATTCCAATGCCATCAGACACTGTTAGAATCACAAAATCATAGAAAATGAGGGTTGGAAAGGACCTCAGATCATCTAGTCCAACCCCCTGCTCAAAGCAGGACCATCCCCAACTAGATCATCCCAGCCAAACCTTTGTCTAGCCGGGTTTTGAAAACATCCAAGGATGGAGCTTCCACCACCTCTCTGGGTAACTTATTCCAGTGTTTTACTACCCTCCTAGTGAGAAAATTCTTCCTAATATCTAATTTAAGCTTCCCTTGCTGCAACTTGAGACCATTACTCCTTCTGTCATCTGCTACCATTGAGAACAGTCCAGCTCCATCCTCTTTGGAACCCCCCTTCAGGTAGTTGAAGGCTGCTATCAAATCCCCTCTCAGTCTTCTCTAGACTATATAAGCCCAGTTCCCTCAGTCTTCCCTCATAAATCATGCCCCCAGCCTCCTCACCATTTTGTTGCCCTCCACTGGACTCTCCAATTTCTCCATATCCTTTCTGTAGTGGGATGCTCAAAACTGAACACAGTACTCCAGATGTGGCCTCACCAATGCTGAATAGAGGGGAATAATCATTTCCCTTGACCTACTGGCAATGCACCTACCAATGTAGCTGAGTATGCCACTAGCCTTCTTGGCAACTAGGGCACACTACTGACTCATATTCAGCTTATTGTCCTCTGTAACCCCCAGCTCCTTTTTTGCAGAGCTGTTAGGCAATGTGATGACTAAAATGTCTAACACAGGTGGAAGAGTAATGATGGAAAGAGAGAAAATAGTCAGCAAAGATAGCTAATGTTCTGTTCTTAATTAAAAGAATTTTAAAGGATGTGGGGTTAGGATCTGCACTTATATCTACAGTAGAGACCTAACACCACCTAACAGTTGAACCATTCACAAGTGTTATTGAGTGGGAACTGGTTCACAGTTGTCATGGCTCAGAGGTGTCTGCACATACAGTGTCTAGACATTCCAGGTAGAGTGGTCACCTTTTAGAGGTCAAAGTGCTGTGGCAATGGGGAGAGGTGAGAGTCAGCACCCAGCCCAGCATGCCTCACAGTGGGCAGGTTGGTGGAGAGGTTGCCTGCATCTGTGCTTAGAGACTTTCAGGGGGTGGGTGACCTGGGGTTAAAGGTACTTTTCACTTTTCTGCTTTCAATTCTCTCCTAAATATGAGTTCACAAAAGTTCAGTAGCCTGCATTTGACCAAACTCTTCAGAGTACTCTGGGTGTTAGAAAGATAGCTTCTGTTGACTAAGCAGTGCAAGAAAGCTCATTGATAAAAAAAAAGTACCAATAAAAAGAAAAAATGGGGGCAGTTGAGTTCTTGCTGTGTATCAAAGTGGCCAGTTCCAGTAGCATGGGGGTGAGAAGTGATGCAATGTGGGATGCCTGGAGAACTGAACAGGTCTTTGTCAAAGAATGCTTGATGTCTGCATATAACCCTGAACTGGTGCACCATGAGCTGGTTCAAAATAATACCTGATTTTTCCAGATATACTTTTGGACCATACCAGACAACTTTAAAACCAGTTTAGCATGCCTTTATATCTGTTAGTTTCAGATTGAAACTGCATTTAAACCAGGCTAAGTGTTAGGTGTTCTGTACCCTCTGTTAGGTATAGGGCCTTAACCTGCCTTCTAGAGGGAGGAACTAAATAGGAATAAAACAGGTTTTATGGAAGCAGAAGGAACAGGATATGTCTGTTTTAATTTTAAATTTATATGCAACAAATATTGAGACTGTATAGACATTGTGCACTCAGCTTGTAAAGCATCCTTTAAAAACCCATTTGAGAATGTTCAATACCTAGTCTGCCATGCTGCCAAAAATTTCATATTCATAAAACACAAAATCCTCATGACTAACCAAAAATCCAAATGTTGTTTCTCCTCTGGATGTGTATTCAGGTGCTGAACTTTCATAACAGATTAGACTGGGTTGGATTTCAAGCTGGCAGCAGCTAACAACATATAATATATTCAACAAGAGAGAAGATATTTTAATATTTGCTGCCAGTGACGATTACCAAGTGTTTTTAGACGTGAAGTTATGGCAAAATTTACTGTATTTTTATTATGTGTTCTTTACCTTATTTTTACAGCATTGAAATTCAAAGCATAGCTCTCAAATTTGCTTCAAAATTGGTCATCCATCTTGTAGAGAATTGCCAAGAGGTAAGGGATGTATATTTTTCTTAAAGAAAGCATATTACATATTAAGGTTTAGTTAGTTTGTCATAATAGAAGGCATTAATATCGTTCCTTATCTAGAATTCACTTTAATTCTCTCTTGTTTTTTATTATGTTTGTAAGGCTTTTATTATGAGTCTTTCCAAAATCTGTACCCACTACATTCTGAACTGACAGATATCACTTTAATGTACTCACCTTTAAGGATAGGTCTCCATTGATATTTAGAGTTAACCTCAAGGTCATTCTCAGCCAACCTGAGTCACATGACCTTTCCCCACCTTATCGTACCTTGTAGCCTGCACCAGTGCCATCTACATTTTACTGCTGATCTCTTGAGTGCATTACTAAGATGTATCCTTTGCACCTTATTAAAGTAGTTCGCTTTTAAGAATAGGTCATCAGAGTATGTCTGTCTTGCTTGTCTTATGAATGGTAGAGAAGGGAATGGGTTATAGAAGAACTGGAAAACAAGAAGAGTGTGATTGATTCTGGTGGACTTTAGTCTTAAGGCTTGGGTAATTTCTGAATAGAATTAAGAGGTGGCAAGGGTAAAGTGAAGATCATATCTGGAAATTCAGCAGAGTTCCAGAGCTGGTCTGGACTGCTGCCAAGAGTTAAATTTAAAGGTTTACAGAATAGATGGTCAGCATATATGAGTTTAAGGATGACTTTAAATTTGACCCTGACTGTTAGTGTAGAGAGAGTCCCTTAGGTAAGTTGAATTTGGGCACATTAATACATCTTTTCAGTGCAGGGTTGATTCATAGGGTATTTGATTCCTAACAGCCTGCCATGGAGAGAGACATAACATACATATTCAATCTGTTAGTCCTCCAGGATACTCAAAATGTATCATTTGTATTACTGTATGTACATTCTCTATTTCTGAGTTGGTAATCTCCAAGTCATTTTATATGTACCGAGCAGTAGTATAGGAGTCATTGGTCTCTGCTGGTATACGTGTATACCCATGCATTTATAATATGCATACGTATGGCCAAATACAGACATTCAAAAAGCTCAAGGAAGAATTGATCTAACCTATGTGGATTTCTGTAAGTGGCCTAGGTTAGACTGGTACCAAACAGAACACATGTTCACTCTTTGGTAGGGTGGGGAGCACGTAGGCAGGCTGCCTGCACTGGCCGAAGCCTGCAAGTTGGGGGTGCTCCTGCATGCCTCCCAGCATGCCCCACAGGCTCCCCAGACTGTCAGAGACTGCCAAGCACAGTTGAGAACTTGGACCAGCCCTGATTAGCTGCTGGGCACAGGCAAGCACCCCCCCACCCCCCTGCCCCTCCATACCCTTTGCCTACCCTAGTACTTTGGGACCCTGGAGCTCTGGGCCCTTGCAGCACCCCAGGTGTCTATGACCTAGGTACCTGCAGGCAGTAGCCAAACTGGAGGTCACAGGGTTGCCTCCGTGCAGGCCCAAGCCCAATGCTCTGCCCCTGCCACCCCAACCCACCAGAGGCAAGCTGCCCAGACCAGATCTTGCTGGGTGCAGGGGGAGGAGGCCATGCTGGGATCTGGGTGGCAGGGTGCCTGGCTCTGGCCACTGAGATGTGGTATGCAGGAGCCAGGGTCAGGCTCTGTGGGATTGTGCCTGACTGAGTATGTAGGAGCCGTATTCAGGCTCTGTGTGGCCTTCCTGAGCACAGCGCATGGAGTTCCCTGGCTGGGTGTGCAGCCCAGGTCCAGCTCAGTGGGGCTACACCCAACCATGGCAGTTTTCCTGGGCTCTGTGTCAAGTCTGTATGTACATTGTGGGGTGCTTTGTGATAGGGTGTGGGGACACAGCCCAGGGACATGGGTGCCTAGGTCCTGGAGCTCATACAGGGGACACAAACTCCCCTCTCTCCCTCCCTACTACCAGCCTGTAGTTGACAGATGGCCAGAGTTAGGGATAGAGAGAGGGTCTGTGCTGGCTCAGCTCTAGGAGAGCTTGTGGTGGGGCCTGTTGGACATTTGGCTGGAGCAGCCAAGGCTGGGCCAAGTGTTAGTGCACCTCCTGGTGAGGGGGGAGGGCTGTAGGAGGCCACAAAGGAGCCTGGGATGCCAGATGGCAGTGATCTAACTTGAATCAATAGAAGATCTGGTACAGAAGTTAAATTTACCTGTCTTATCTAAATCAATTAGATGTGAATGCGCATCAAACTGGGTGTTAGACCACATTCTGCCATTATGGACTGGTCTGTGTGCACTAAACTTCTTTATGGGGTGCACCAATAACATTTTTTGGACTGATACTGATGGCCGATTATTAAGGTGCCATATCGGCCGATACCAATTCGATTGCCAATATATAGCCCGGCAGCTTGGAGAGCAGTGTCTGGCTGGTAAGTCTGTTGTGGGGAAGGGGCGGAGGGAGAGAAAGGGCTTGAGGGGTGCAGATTGAGGCCGCTGCAGTGAGAGACAAGGCAGGGCTGGCACAGGGACAGGTGCTGCCCACTCCGGGGCAGGGTGGGGCATGGCACAGAGCCACGAGCAGCTTATTTGGGGGGAGGGGGGAGGGCAGGGAGAGGGGTGGCACCTGCAGTGTACCCTGGGGGAGGCATGAAAGGCCTGTGCCCCCCGTATCTGTGGGTGGGGTGAGGGTGGGCTGCTTCTGTGCACTTGGGACCGGGGGCAGTGCTAGGCTGTTCCCAGTGGTGGGGCTGCAGGCAGGGTGGGCAGCAGTGGCACTGGGAGGAGGCCTTAAGGGGGGACTACAGCCACACCAACGTTCACCATAGCCCCTCCTCCCAGCACTGTCCCACCTGCCTCAAGCGCAGACCTGGCCCAGCCCCCTTGCTGAGAAGGTCCCAGCGCTGCCCCCTGCCCCAAGCACAGAGCAGCAGCCCAGCCCTTGCCCTGTGCACAGACCTGGGAGGCACAGGCCCTCGTGCCTTCCTCAGGATGTGTGCAGCCACGGGAGCTACCTGGCTCCCCCTGGCTGCACGCATGCACGCAACATTTATCAATGACATTATCGGCCACATCAGCCAAAAAAAGCTGATTGCTAGTAATGTCAATTTTCCTTTTATCACTGCTAATACGATATGGACTGATGTATCGGCGCATCTCTATTGATGGTTATGAGTTTAGATCAGTTTCCAATAACTTATACCGGTTTATATGTAATAACTGTACATGGCCTATATGTATATGTTTATATATGTATATGTATGAAGGGAAAGATTTTTAGGATATTTTAACTGTATTGAAATTTTTATCATAATTATTTCATTGCAAAAAAAGTTCCATGTAATATTTTTTATAATGAGATCTATTTTTTGGAAATCTACCAAAATATTTCCCATAGCTGGTTAACACTTTATTCTCTAGCCTGAAGTATGGTTCATTAATGGAAAAAAGAAAAGAAAAAGTACCACAAAGAAGTATTGAAAAGTATTTAAATTTTTCATTCTCATTTTTAAAATAGATGAAAATCAACATTTAAGATTTTACCTGCTCTTGTCGGAAGTAATGTGCATTCAGATTTCAAGCCTGAGACCACCTTTTACCATGAAGTCAGTTACGAACCATGGATGAAGGTGCTTGTAGGAAATGCTGGGCCAAGCCTGCCTGTAGCAATGCTAACATGGCTTGGTATAATAACCATAGTTAGCAATGAGAAACGTAAGACCGATGACATCTATATATGGAGTGTTTTTAATGCTAAAGAACAGATCCAACAAGAGTGATTCCCATTTCCCACCAATTTGAGTTCTGGTAGTGGTTTGTATTCTGTATTCCTTTTCCTCACCATCGTCAGTGTGCAGGGAAGATTGATTTGGGTAAGAGCTAATTTAACAGTTCATAGCTAAGTATGATGCTAAATACCAGCTCTACATTGTACTGTTTATTTCTTCCATGTATTCTGTGCTTTCAGGTTTTGGCATTAGAGCTGAAACACTGGGTGCAACTAATAGCTTGTTCTTGTGGAGATGAACAACAGACGGATATGCTATTGGCAGCTGCTGAAATACTTCAAAATATTACACCCCTCTTCCTGACCAATGAAAAACTCATCCTTGGTGAGTAAATTCCTTGAATTATGTGCCATATTCTCCTAGAACTTCTTAAAGCACGGAATAGATAAAACCTAAGAATACATGAAGCTTTTTTATATATATAATGAACCACCTGATAGAATTAAAATGCATTGTTTTAAAAAATTGGAAAGTGTTTCATAGACTCTGTTCCCTTCATAATTGGAACAGCTGAATATTCTAATTAAATGAACTTATGTGGAGCAACAACAATTTAGTTGAAAGCCCCTTGGTGTAGCAGGCCCAAATATAAAAATATCTAATAGCTGACTATTTCTGGATAGGGGAAGAAATATGATTAACCCTAGAAATATGGTATAGATTTTTAATAGTGAGGATAATTAACTACTGGGTACTTCACCAAGAAATTCATTAATTTCTCTAATATTTGACAGGTTCAAAACAAAATTAAATGTCTGTTTGGGGAAAAAAATGCTCTTGTTCAGCCACACATTATTGGTTTTGAATCAAATTATTGGTTGTTGGAGCTACCTGAAGGCAGTAGCAAACCTCTCACTGATATTGATTGAACTAGGAATTAGTATAAAAAGGCCAGCAAAGTCATGCTTTCCTTTTCTGTCTTATTCATAGAATCATGATAAAGTAGCTGAGAAGGATCTGAGTCCACAAGTTAGTGCATGAACATCCCTGATGTTTTTATTTTACCTTTATTATATTTTATTTTACTGCTAAGTACTGTTTATGAAATGTTTCATAAATGTGAATGTGAAATATGGAATAGCTAAGCTCAAAATAAGATATTTTTGGATGGAAGGAAGAGGATTATCCTGCATTGTAGAGTAAGCCATTAACTTTTAATGCCGTTTTACCTTCTTTGACAGGATTAAAATGGTTTGTTTTGAATAGTGTCTCAGTAGCCTGCTATTGGACTGGATCCACTTTTTTGTTAGCAAACTGAATGTTAGTATGTCAAATGTCTGTAAATAATACTACTGTAAAAAGTATGCATTAATTATTCAAGACTAAGTTACCATGATAAACCATTTACCTTCCAGCATTCAAGTAATAAGATATCAAGATTATCAACGTTTCAATTCTGAATTCTCACACACATGTGTTTTAAAGTTCCTGTCATTACCATGTATTGGTAATGATTAGAGGCCTGGGAAGCATAACTTCTGTGGAAAAGCTGAAAGAGCTAGGATTATTAGGTCTGGCGAGGAAAAGACCTAGGAAGACTTGATAACAGCCTTCAAGTACCTGAAGAATGATTTTTCTCTGTTGGTGTACAGGATGGGATTAGGAGCAATGGCCCCAAACTAAAGTAGAGGAGATTTGGGTGGAGGATCAGGAAGAATTTTTTGACTATGAGGGGAATTAAGCATTGGAACAGGGTATCTAGAGAAGTTGTGGAATCTCCATCCCTGGACATTTTCAAGAACAGGTTAGACAGATACTTGGCTGGGATGGTGTCATTGGAGATGATCCTACTTTGAATGGGGACTGGACTAGATGACCTCATGAAGTCTCTTCCAGCCCTACTTTCCTATTATCCTCTGCAAAAAACTCTATTACTAGTATATTTATTTATTACTAATTATGTTTTTGCAAATGTAGGAGAAAGCTCTGCTTGATTTAATTGTACTCGTATATATTCAGAATTTGCCTGCATTATTTCTTATAGTATTATTTCTTGTACTATTAATATGATGATTCTCAGCTGAGGTACCGCAGCACCCTGGGGTGCTGTGAGCCCCCCTCTCTAACCCCTCCCCCCCCTCCGAGGGGTGCTGAGATGCAGCCACAGCTGGCCTGCAGCTAAAACTGCCCTGGTGTACATTCTTGCTGCATTAGGACTGTGATCAGCCAAAAGCAGGCAGGAGCTGGCTTGACTGTATCCCTTTAAGATCCAACTCCATGCTCTTCCCAGAAACAGAGGCAGGACGGAGGAGGTGGGGGGACAAGCCTGAGATGGGAGGCATTTTTCCAGAGTACTGGGAGGGCTTCAGCCCTAGGTGCATCCACCTCCCACCCGTGCACTCTCCAGGTTGATCCAGAGCAATTTTTCCCAACCTTTTAAGTACCAAGTATGCCCTAACTTATGAAGATTTTACTAAGTACCCCAACACTCAATTTTCCAGGAGATTTCATATTTACAGACTAATGCTGGAAGAAGGGCTGTGTATACAAGGCCGTGATATGACAGATGTCTGATCTGGTGTGGGTAGGGTTGCCAGCTTTTACGCCAGGGATGCACAACTCAAGTATGTACCTGTGCTAGAGGTGATGTTGGCCAAAGCTAGGAGGGCTGAACCCAATGCCATGCAAAGCACGGCACACCAAATTATTACTGGGGAATTAAAATTTTTTAATTGCACCACATTTTTTGCCATAGTTTTGAGAGGAGGAAGGGGCGAGAGAGAGAGGAAAAGACAGCAAGAGAGACAGAGTGTTGGGGTACCTTCGTACCCCCTGCCTGTGTTTTGTGTACCCCCAGGGGTACGCGTACCACAGGTTGAGAAACTATGATCCAGAGGGGACCATTCTCCCCAGGTGGGAACCCTCCTGGACAGTAGTGTAACTAGGAGTGGGTAACAGGGGCACCAGCCCTGGGGATGAGCTTAGGAGAGGCACCAGAATCGTCCTTAACCCCTGAAAAGTCTGTGCCTGCGCAGACCCATGGTGTTGCGCTTACAGAAGTAGCAACTGATGCATGAACACCCTGCTGCTGTTTTAAGAGCAAGAGCTGGGATGGGCAGACCATGTGGTGGTAGCAGCATTATCTGGGGGCTTGTTTGCAGATTCGGGCGTGGGTAAGACTCCTGTGTGTGCCCCCACCCCATGCTTGTTATGCCTCTGCTCCTGGAGGTCTGCAGAGGATCCCACCAGGGGAGAATGTGCCTTTCCCCCATCTTGCCAACTGCCTACTGCCCTTCCTCAGAAGGGTAGAGGGCAGGCAGTCAATCAGTGGGCTCCCCTATGGGAGACAGCACATAAATTCTTAGCACTAGGAATGAATGCCTGTTTAAGGGCAGTGTCACTGAAAGTGCTCTCGCTGATTAGCCAAGGCACGTAGTGGTGACAGGCACAACTGTTCTCCATGCCACTACATTTCATGGCCTTTCTGCCTAGATGTCCAGCAGTAACGCCAACTGTAGTTGCAATTTTTCAGCTGGGAATTGTTTTTATTTGGTGCTGGCCTGAGCTGGATTTAAGTGAATGCCCTTTAGATGAATATCTGCGTCCCTTTCCTGATTTTTTTTGACCTGATCACTGTTCCGACTACCAGATTTGGTAGTTGCCTTACCCTCTCTAGTTGCTTGCCCCTGCTATATTTAATACTTTCTCAAAGCCTGCAGCTGCTCTTTTGCCCCCTCTTCACTGAAGTAATTTACATTACCATTTATGCCACCTTCTAATTTGGCTGCACGGATATAACGTTTTAAAAATATGCATGCACAGTCATGCAATCTGTATCATCTTAATCATTTAAGTTTTGGTTCAAATTTAAATAAGAAACTTCCATAATGTGCCCAGTCAATACTTATATCTAGGAGGTAGGGAAAAGGTAGTCTCTAATTCTTACAAGTCTTAGTCCTCTGATCTTTATAAGTACAAGGATAGTCTTAGACCATTAATATGAGATTTATTTACCTATGTGGTTATCCAGGCTCATTGTAGTATGTCACTTCTTACTTTGTGTTAAACCAGAAACTTTTCGTTTTTCGGCTATTGAACTGAATAATATAACATGCAGTTTAATATGATGTGAACGGTGGGTGGTGGTAGTAGAGTTAACCTGAGTAGACTATGAAGTGGATCAAAAACTGGCTTGATTTTTGGGCTCAAAGTGTAATAATCAATGGCTCAATGTGTAGTTGGCAGCCAGTATCAAATGGATTACCCCAGGGGTCGGTCCTGGGACTGGTTGTGTTGAATGTCTTCATCAGCAATCTGGAAGATGGGATGGAGTGCACCCTCAGGAAGTATGCAGATGACACCAAGCTGGGGTGAATAGTAGATATGCTGGAGCAGTGTTTCTCAATCCGTGGTACACGTACCCCTGTGGGTACACGAGACACAGGTAGGGGGTATGCGGGTGCCGCGTTTTAAGTTTGGCCTGCCCCCCCACCCAGTGGGTTGGAGGCATCTTTGCCTGTTTGGGCCAGAAATTCCGGCTGCTGCCCCTCCCGCCATGTCCGGACCTCCAGGGCTTTCACTCCCCAGCGTCACTGTACCTGGGGACAGGGAGGGAGGCCCTGAACTGGCTGCTTTGGTCCTCAAGGAAAAAGTGGGACTCAGCTCGCAGTGACGAAACCGGAAGTGCTACTGTGGGATTTCCGGTTTTGCTTTTGCTGCGTCAATCGGCAGGGTGTACATAAGGTACCAAAGGTTGAGAGCCACTGTGCTGGAGGGTAGGGCTAGGATTCAGAGATACCTAGACAAATTGAAGGATTGGACCAAAAGAAGTCTCATGAAGTTCAGTAAGGACAAATGCAAAGTCCTGCACTTAGGGTGGAACAGTACCATGTCCCAGTACAGGCTGGGGGCTAACTGGCTAAGTAGCAGCTCTGCAGAAAAGGACCTGGGGGTTACAGAGGACAATAAACTGAATATGAGCCAACACTATTCCCTTGTTGCCAATAAGAGTAACGGCATACTGGACTGTATTAGTAGGGGCATTGCTAGTAGATTGAGAGAATTGATTTTTCTTCTCACTGGTGGAGGCCACATCTGGAGTACTGTATCCAGTTTTGGGCCCCTCACTACAGAAAGGATGTGGACAAATTGGAGAGCGTCCAGCAGAGGGCAACAAAAATAGTGAGGGGGCTGGGGCACATGACTTACGAGGAGAGGCTGAGGAACTAGGTTTATTTAATTTATAGAAGAGAAGACTGAGAAGGGATTTAATAGCAGCCTTCAACTACCTGAAAAGCAGTTACAAAGAGGATGGTCTAGACTGTTCTCACTGGTGGCAGATGACAGAACATGGAGCAAAGATCTCAAGTTGCAACAAGGGAAGTTTAGGTTAGATATTAGGGAAAACTTTCTCACTAGAAGGGTAGTAAAACACTGGAACAGGCTTCCCAGAGAGGTTGTGGACTATCCATCCTTGGGGGTTTTTAAGACCCAGCTAGGCAGCGCCTTCACTGGGATGATACAGTTGGATTGCCCTGCTTTGAGCAGGGGGTCGGACAAGATGACCTCCTGAGGTCCCTTCCAACCCTAATTTTCTATAAATCTAAGATAAACAATAAATCAACTTACTCAACCCATTAAGAACATATGTAAGTTGTATGTTTAACATATATGTGGTAACAGTTGGAAATTTTGGGAACTTAGCTTGGTGTAATACCAGCTGTGTATTGTACTCTTTAGACATCAAGGTCAATTATTCTTGAAAGCCAGTGAGAATGGATATTCATATATTTACTATTAAATATATAAAATAGACATATCTCGTCTTCTGAGATGTCGTAAGAATCATAAATGAGTCAATAAACCATTTGATCTGATACATGTCTTTTTGTGGTATCAATAGTATTTAACTAAGCTAAGCCTATGCCATTCCTTTAGTATCAGGAGAATATACCACATGAGTTTTGTATGTTTGGCCCTGCCTTATAGTATCTGGAAAACTTGACTCTTGGAACCAAAAATCTAGAACTTATAAATAAGACAGATGCTACCATTCCTATCCAGTGGTGGACATCAAGAGTTTTTTGAATGACCAGTACAGGAATTTTGAGCTTTTTATCCCTTCCCATGATTGAATTAGAACAAAGCTGGCAATGAGCAAAATTTTCCTATTTGATAGCTTCTGAGGTCCTGTGTGAAAAGAGATGGTGATTCAAGTCCTTTTCTGATGATTCTGAATAGACCTTCAAAACTAACAAAATTGGCATTAATTGGCACCCTTGTTGACTAAAAAATTCAGGCTAGATACAGATGTTATACTTACCATGTGTTAAGCATGCAGAAAGCGCATTATGGCTGTGACAGAACAGATGTTCACAGTACATAAAGTACTTTAAAAATGGTGGATCCCACTCAAATTTAACCCTTGATGGATGTGGTATAAGACTAAAGTGCTTTAGGTTAGAGTGCTTTATCAAATGTCTATCTACACACGAAAATCATTACTTACGTGAAGGACTTGCTGGGCCCCTGCATGTCAACAGCACGTCCACTGCTGTCTAGCAAGAAGAATGGGAACTTCAGAAAGTTCAAAGTACTCATTGCTTAGCAAAGCTCTTGCGATGATGCTGAAGGTGGTTCTCCCTCAGCAATTGAACACTGAACCTTATTGCAGAGTAAAGCTAGCAGGTGGAGACTAAAGAGGAGGAGAACAAAGGTGTTTGGCTGCCTAGAGTGTGTATTTTGCAGCAGATGGCATTTCATCTGTATTCTCATTCAGCCTTCCCATTTTGAGTTTTTTATTACATTTTTGGTATTTTTAGATGAGGAAGTACATATTTCTATAACTGTTCTGATTTGCCTTGTGAGGAGCAAAAATCTAAATTCTTTCCCTCTTTGTAAATGTTCAGGTCTTTCCGATACGCTGACCATGTGGAAATGCGTGGTTCTCCTGTTGCAGAGTGAAGAGCTGATAGTAAGGAATGCAGCTGCTGAAGTTATACGGGTGGCCCAGTCTCAAGAAACTATCTGTAAAAAAAGAGGTACTATTTTTTCTGTTACCATAGACAATTGCAAACTGACTCATATTTCTTACAGCCACTTAACTGTGGAATATGAGTAAATCATGTAGTAAAAATGTTCACACACTTCATTTTCTTTTTTTAGTCTTTTTGGTGTAATTTTCTTATGTTGTGTGGGAATTTAGAAAAAACAACTACTGTATTTATTTATCTGATGAGGTATGATGAATCAGACCAGATCTGCTAGGCCTAGTAATTTTGGAAATGCTGGAGATATGAGATCTGAACTTATATTAAACTGCAACTGGAGGTAAAAGCCGCTTAGCTCCCAAGGTGGTGGGGAAGAGAGATGGGAAACAGTATTCCTGGGTTTTCTGCCTGACTCCCCATGGGAACTTGGGAAGTTCTTTAACTTAGTCTTGCTACATTAGTTTACTCATCTGTATTAATATATATCCCCACAGGAATGCTGATAAGCTTATTTGATGACTGCACTTTACTTTTTCTTACTCTGGCACATGCAAATGTATATTAATTTGCATAATACAGCCTCTCTGGTCATGCATATCAATCTGTGTTTTGTTTTGTCTGTCTGCTGGTATTATAAGTTCTTTGAGTACCAGGTCAGTGTCTTCCTCCATGTCTTGTACAATGCCAATACCTCTAACGTCAGCCATTAAAGGTAATTATCCACATTAGTATGAAGTTAGGCAGAAAGTAGGGCAGGCTGGTACTTTAGAGACTAACTGGTTCAGAAAGGAATAAGCTTTTTTGTGCAATAACCCACTTTATGATGCCTCTCTGATACATTCGTTCTAGAAGCATTTGAATGAAAAAAAATATTTGCAGCTTTTTTTCTTTTCCCTCCTACTATATGTTCAGATTGAGGGGTGAAGCAGGGTGACTTTAGATCGGTGGTTGTCAAGCGGGGGTACGCATACCCCTAGGGTACTTAAAAAGGTCGTAGGGGATACACAGAACTCTGTGTGCATGCACGCAGCCGAAGCGCAGCACACAGGCAGCCAGGAGCACAGCCCGACCACATGGAGAGCAGTCGGGTCCAGCTGGTAAGTTTGTTGTAGGAGAGGGAGTGGGGCTGAGGCAGGGGCTGCCCAACTGAGGCACAGCATGGGACTGAGCCATGTGGGGGGTGGCTCCCGATGCTACACATACCCTGGGAGGAGGGGGGGGGGCAGGGCGGGCTCCAGCCCCTCGATCTGGGGTGGGCTGGGGCCAGGGCCATGCTGGGCTCTTCTTGGCAGGTGCTGGGCTGAGCCAAGCTGTGCTTGGAGCAGGTGGTGGTGCTGGGAAGGCACCGGGGGGGGGCAGCTACAGTGAATTTCTGGAGTGGCTGCAGCCCCTGCTCCCATAGGCCCCTGTGGTGAGAGAGGGAGTGGGGCTGAAGCAGGGGCAGATGCTGCACAGCCAGGCAGAGTGTGGGACAGAGCCACAAGCAGCTTGTTCAGCGAGTGCGGTGGGCATGCATGTGCCCCAGCAGGGCATGGGGAGGGTGCGTGCCCCTACATGTGCATGCAGGGTCCGGTAGGCTGCAGACTGGTCAGGCTGGGGCCTGGGCAGCTCCGGGCTGTTCCCAGCAGGGGCTGGGACGGAGTGTGCTGGTAAGGGATGGTTGGGGGAGCTACAGTGAATTTTGGGGTGGTTGCAGCCCCTCCCATAGCCCTCTCTTAGCGCCACCACCTACCTTGAGCAGAGCACAGCCCAGCCTGGCCCCTGCTGGGAAGAGCCCAGCACCCCAGCCAGCAGCAGTCTGCCTGCCCCCTGCACACAGATCTGGGGGCACATGCCTCCCAGGGCACATGCAGCAGGGAGAGCCACCCCTCCCATTCCCATGCCTCTTGAACAATCCACTTGCGGCTCTGTCCCGTGCCCCACCCTGGCTGAGCAACACCTGCCCCTGCCCCACTCCCTCCCTCACTGCAGGGCCTCAATCTGCCCTCCCCCCCTGAAAAAAATATAAAGGGGTACAGGAGGTGAAACTTTGAGACAGAAGGGGTACATTTGTTAAAAAAGGGTTGAAAACCCCTGCTTTAGATGGTAGAGGACAAATATTCTTTTTGAGTCATATATTGAAGTAAATTTACAGGGAATTGATAATCTTCCCATTTTATTTTAAATCTAAAGTAATGCAATTTTGGTTAAAGTGTGGGTCTCATTTATTGTCATTACTTGCCTTATGAGGTCCTGTGATGGCCATTTTATGGTAATTTCAAAATGAAATATGCTCACTTTCTGAATAAAAAGGGTTTTTTTTCTTCCATGTGCCAGCCTTGCCAATGGACTTTTCAAGGTTAAAATCAGTCTAGGTCCGTTCTTTCTTATGCTTTGTTACAAGCAGGTGCTCACTTAACATCTCTGCATACCCATATGCCTTCAGTAGTAGTGCTTTAATAAAGTGTCACGGATAGGAATCTAATAAACTCTTTTACTGATGAAACAAAAACCATCTTTTGGCTGGGTTGTCTCTATTGGGAAAGCAAACAAAAAGCAGTAACATTTTGTTGTCATTTCAATAAATGGAAGTGACTGAATAACTTCAGGGAGCAGTCCTGTTTAGTAAGCAGGTGGTATTTCGTGTTGTCACTTTTCAGAGTAGAGCTACATTTTTATGTGTACAGAGATGGGAATAACAACACCAGTTTTATTTTCAGGTTTTCTGCCTAAACTGGTAAATTAAAATCTGGCTTAGTTGTTAGGCACACGGAAGATCTTCCTGTCAGTCCTGTCATTACTTAATGCCTGAGTTTGCTCTCACTGTATCAACATGTGTTGTCTGTGGGTAACAGAAGCTTCTGTTTCTGAAAAAAATGATTCATTTCTCCCCCTGGCTCTAGTTTACATTTTCATCATGGGTTTTTCTTTATTTTCTCTGTTTTCTGTATTCTCTCTTACCTCTCCCTTTCCCTACTCTTTTTTTTGATGCATCATCCCCTTTAGGTTTCACCAGGTCTGGTAATCTGTAGGCAGAGAAAAAAGCAGTGCATTGTGGGAATGAATTTGGAGAGTGCAGGGCAGCAGGTAGAATGCTTTAGACATAATGGCAAGAAGTACGTAGGATTCAGCTTAGCATCCCTGTCTCTCTGACCCCTTCATGGTAACACAGCATGCAGAGATGCAAGGTTCTGATTTGGCATTACAACACCCCTCTAAACTAGCAATCAAAACATTTTCCTGAGCTCATGTCTTAGCTTTAACTATGTTTCAATATTATTTCACCAAACTTGCATAGTATTTCTTACATTGTCTTAAATGGCTTTGTTTTATGACATTGTATCTTACGATGGGAATGAAAATATTCTAGTCCAGCAGTGGAGACCAGAATAAGAAATAGATGGCTAACATTCTGCTTGTTCATATTCTGTATTTCTCTCTGTTGCTCTCTACAATGAACTTTAGCTCATGGGCGAGATTTGGGGCTTCTTGCATTCCCATCTGAAAAAAACAAACCTGTATGCTAGTAGCTGTTGTTCTTCCATATATACTGCCTCATAGAGATGGATATAACTGCACTGTTGATTGACTTTTCCAAGGCCTGTGAAAAGGATAGGTGGTGGTATTTTGTCAGTAGAGGCTTGGATGGAAAGGATGCCAACAGGGCATTTAATTCGTACACTATTATGGCTACATGCCGTGGTTTTACAAAATATATTATGCTACAGTTATTGTTTAATTTTTTCAGGTAGTATAAACACAACTATTTGGTGCTGGCAAAGCCAAGCACCTGCCAGCAGTCCTTTCTTTATGAACAGTGGTAGTGCCAGCATTTTCCCTCATACCTGCTCTGCTTTTGCTTCTTGGAAAATGCTGACATTTGACTATCATGCAAAAAGGCAGGACTGCAGCCCTCGCCAACAGGAGAGCTGTAGTGTGAGTAAGAGAGACAGCTCCTTTAGTGTTGGATTCATGCAGTAGATCCAAAAGTGGACTTCCATGGCACACTGACTGCTCCTATAATTTTACATAAGGTTCGAACTGGTCTTGATTTTTTTTCCCCCACTATAAGGACTACAAAAGGATAATGACTGTCTTTTTAGCTAATTTAGATCTAGTCGAGATTTTATTCTGCTTCAGATTACTAAAGTTTGAGTCTGGATATCTGTAGTAAACATGAGCCTTGCTTTTTTGCTTGATTATGGTGACTTCACCGGGTTTTCCTCTGTGCTACCAATGTATGGGTAACCCTACAGATGTGAGCTTGCTTAGGCCAGCAGCATCCTTTATAGTTTGTGTAGTGTGGCTGTAAGTAATATAAGCAGAGGTAAATGATCCTACCAGGTATACAAGGTTTAATTCCCAATAAAAGTTATTACCACAGTCAGCCAGTTCTTTGGGCTACTTGAAGAGAAACTGTGACAAGGGACAGAAGTTACCCATAAGCTGGTATATGTGATCGGGAACTGGTCTAAACCTGTAACAGAACAGAAGTTTATTGTACATAGACTGGTTTCAAAATGGCAGAATCTGGTTTAAAATAGACCTGGATGGATTTAGTATCAGATTGAATCACTTTAGGTTAGACTGGTCTATTGAGCATCTGTTCCAGGTCCCCTCCTGAAACAAGTTAGGTCACAGTCCCCTGGCATCCCAGGATGTATTGTGGCCCCGTGTTATCCCCACTTCTCAGGGTGTGCTCGCTTCCACCCCAGCTCCTCTGCTTCAGCTGAGCCAGGCGGCCCCAACCCTGGGCTGTCATACAGCTGAGGCAGCAAAGCCTCAGAAACCTGGGTAGATTAGATCGATTAAGCCTTGGGCTTTTTGATTCTCTGTACTTAGCCAATGTATTAGGATGTTTTCTAGCAAATGCGGCACTCTGCTTCACCAGCCAGCTAATCCATGAAGCTGCGTACCTAAATCAGATGAAGCTAGCAGTGGTCTTGAAGAGGGGGAGGGAAGATAGTAAGGATAGTAGAAAACTGTCATTACCAAAATGATAACAATGTGTCATAAAATTTTTGCCCTCTTGTGGATTGGAAGGAGAGCTTGGAAGACCAAATATTCTGAGA